GAGTGTGATCACATTTAGGATTGATAGCCGTACTATTAAGAGGGGTGAAACTCGTATCGGAATACGGTTATCAAAGTGTCACTAGATGCTCTAACTCATTGCATATGCATTTTAGATCTAGTGGAGAACAAACACCCTTGAAAATGTTTGTGAAAATATGCTAACACATGTGCACAAGGTGATACACTTGGTGGTTGGCACATTTGAGCAAGGGTGAAGAAGTTAGAAGTGAAATGGAGTTAGTCATAATGATCTTTGGCATCGGTCAGTCAAGCGACGGAATGATTTGGTCGCTCTGCTGACCGGATGACTGAAAAGGCTGCGTCCGATCGAGTGGTCGATCAGCACAGTGGTTAGGGTTAAGCACCGGACACTGGGTTGTGTCCGGTCAAGCATGATCAGATGTGTCCGATCGGCAAAAACTGGTTTTGGACCCTATCATAAACGGCCGGACGAGGGTTTAGCGTCCGGTTAGATTATCGGGCGTTGTCGACTTTGTCGACCGTTGAGATCAAACATTCACTATTGAACACAGGAGACACGTGGCCGCCATCGGGCGACCGGACACTGAGGAGCAGCGTCCGGTCAGTAGGACCGGAGCGTCCGGTCACCCCGATCAGTACCCAGTGAAGGGGTACAACGGCTCTATTTCGTGGGGGCTTCTATTTAAGCCTCATAGCCGGCTCAAGCTCACTCTTTTGGTCATTTGCATTGACATAGCAACCTTGTGAGTTTAGCCAAAGCCCTCCCGCTCATTTCCATCATAGATTAAACATCTTTGTGAGATTGTGAGTGATCCAAGTGCATTGCTTGAGTGATTGCATCTAGAGGCACTTGGTGTTCGTGTTTCGTTGTGGATTTTGCTTGTTACTTTTGGTGGTTGCCGCCACCTAGACGGCTTGGAGCAGTGAGGATCGTCGAGCGGAGGGTGATGATTGTCTCTGGCTCCGATCGTGGTGATTGTGAGAGGTTCTTGACCTTTTTCCGGTGGAGCGCCAAAAGGTACTCTAGTGAATTGCTCGTGGCTTGTGTGATCCTCATCTTGTGTTGGTTGTGTGGCACTCTATTGAGGGTTTGACGTGTGATGCCAATTAGCGCGTGAATCTCCAAGTGAGTGAATCACCACAACGAGGAGTAGCTTGCCGGCAAGCAAGTGAACCTCGGTAAAAAATCATTATGTTCATCATTTGATTCTGAGGTGATTGGTCTTCATTGTTATTCATCCTTGTGATTGATTGGTTCCTTCATCTACACGGCAGTATAACTTTCTTGATCGCTCTCTTTACATTACCAGTAAACTAGTTGTCAAGCTCTTTAGTATAGTTAGTTGTGAGAGCTTGCTTGTTTGGTTGGTGTGGCTCTTTAGTTAGCCTTTGAGAGCACACTAACATAGGGTAGTGTTATAGCTATTGTGTGATTAGATACTATCGAAACTAGAATTGTGGTAGGCGGCTTGTATTTTGAGTAGGCTAGCGCAACACTTGCTTCGCCTCATAATTGTCTAACCACTTTGTTAAGTGTTGTTGTAGAAATTTTATTAGGCTATTCACCCCCCCTCTAGCCATTAGGACCTTTCACCAGGTCCTATAGTTTATTAGTCATTAGCAAACTAATAAAAAGAGAGACATAGAACCGACCAGACGGCCCAAAAAGACAGCATCAATATTTCTTTCCTAGTTTCCTTTCTCATGGCCCTCGGGTAGAGAGAGGCGAGGAGTCACGCTGCACACAACACACTCTGATCGTGAGTTCGCGACGTGCGCCTTACACACGTGGAGCTAGCGAGTCGCGCTGCCTAGACTACCGGAGACACCGACACGACGCACGAGGACGGCGATCAGGTAGGGCTCCACGACGACGACATCTTGATTCTTGACTTCTTATGAATTGTGATCACCGATCAGTTGTTTAGGCCCAATATATTTTTTTCCTTTTTATTTTTAATTCAAATTATTTATTTGTATAGTATTCTAGACTTCTAGTACTTTATACCCATAGTCATATTTTTCTTCTAATTTAGGTGTTAGAATTTTAGAATGTTACATAAGAAACGTTTGTTATGGGTAAGAAAATAAAACAAATATATTACTTTTTTTAATCTATATTGTTCCTCAATAATTATCATACATCTATAAATATATTGCTTAATCTACATTGTTTCTCGATACTTATCACACATGTTAAATTAAAAATATGTTATTAAATTTGCTTTCATTTTGCAAGTAAAATTAGTACCTATATATTATAAGATTTTATACATGGTCAAAAAGGACCGTTGCGACGAGATCGCCAGAGGGCCCATAAAATCATAGGATCGGCACTGGTCGCACGACCTATCGTCCTGTCGGGTAGATGTTGACCATAAGAAATTTTTAGTTGTAGAGAAGAGATATTAGATGTCGGCTGGTCTGCTTTTGTTTTATATTCATTTTTCCCTTCCTAATTTTTTGTGACAAAACTTGCACGAGAAATGTACATTCGTCGAGTAAAAATGTGCTTCTTCTCGTTTAATTTTGAATGAGTTTGCCTGTTGGTTCCTTTATTTTGACCGCTTGCAGAGGTTTTGTTCAAATATATTTTATATTTAGACTCCGTACTATGGTTGAACGTAAACTATTTTAGCTCATATAATTATGTGAGCGATTTTTTAGGATAATAACATTAGAACTATAATTTATAATTCATGATGTACTCTTAGTAAAATCGGTTAGAGTTTACGCTTCGAAGAGTAGAGGGACACCTAAACAGAAAAAAGAATACAATGGTCGAAATTTGGATGAATAAATTTTCGTTCCTTGGTATTATTTATAGAGATGTACGGAAACCACCTGATGTGTGGGTGAGCAACATTTCCAGCTATAATTACTATTAGAACAAGAAAAATGTTCAATAGCTATCATAAAGTCCAATCCCCCTCTAAAAAATAAGATGTTTAACCTAGTTTAACTTTTAAAAACATTTTACATCCTAGACAATTTTAAAACAGTTTTATTTTTATCACGGATGATTTAGATGATAGTCTTAGCCTATATGATAGCCTTGGTAATGGGTCAAGTCCTATCCTAATCCCACTCCGACTCCAATATTTTGAGGAAGGTTTCGATCCCAAGTCCTAACCCAATCTACTACCTAACTTTATGTCTGATCCAACTTGTGCCTAGCTCTGATTGACAGAGTTCTCAGAGCTTATTTTCTTTAGTGGGACCTCTGCCAAACAGTTTTTTTTATAGAGAAGTGATTCTCTGTTAATTTCGTGAAATGGTTCTATGAAATGAACTAAGAGGTTGAGAGCTGAAAATAGTAGCTTCTCCTAATTCTGATTCTCAATGTGATTTTGAGAGTTTATGCTAAAAAATAAAAAAAGAATCACTTTCAGTCACAGGCCCGTTCGTTTCTCTTATAATACGTCTTTTTCAGCTTGTTTTTTCAGTGAACAATGTTTTTCTCCCACAACAAATCAGTCAAAACAGTATTTCGACCTATTTTTTCAGCAAAGCAAACGGGGCCACAGAGTAACTTCTCTTAGAGAATCAGCTTCGATGGAGAATCAGAATCAGACAGAGCTCTACCAAAGTAACCCTTAGAATCTTGCAATTGATTTTTCCCTACCACCGAACAGCCTGTTCGACTGGGGCTGAAACGATCATATATGATCGTGGATTATTATTATTGGCTAGTTTAATGTGAGAGAAAAAATACTGTTTTAGCTGAAAATTTACGATCGTTTACAACCAAACGAACTGGCTGGAAGCCTCAGTCTCCTCCCGCGCCGCCACCAAGACCGCCGCCAGCACCTCCACCTCACGCTACCATAGCCGAAAAACCCTAGCCCAACTCTCCCTTCCCTCGCCCATCCCACTCCTTTCGTCCGATTCGAGGAGGCCAACGGAGGGGCTAGGGCATGGCGACCGATGTGCAGCTCAGGGAGTGGGTCTCCCACAAGCTCATGAGCCTCTTGGGCTACTCCAAGAACGTCGTCGTCCAGTAGGGATGAAAACGGATCGGATACGGACGGATATCACCGATATTACATTTGTTTTCATATTTCTGTCCGGATTCGGATTCGAATACGGATAGTGTCAACTATGTCGGATAGGATACGATTGGATATCGACATCATAAATATGCGATTTGAGTATTCGGATACGGATACGGTATCGGATGTTGGATATCCGGACTCGGATACGGACAGATCTCAACCCCTCTAAACGGATTCGGTTTCGAATACGGTCGGAAAATATCCGTACCGTTTTCGTCCCTATCGTCCAGTACGTCATCAGGCTTGCGAAGGAGTGCTCTTCAACGGGTGACCTCGTGGGCAAGCTCGTCGAGTTCGGGTTCACCTCGTCTGCGGAGACCCGTGCCTTCGCGTCGGATATCTATGCCAAGGTTCCCCGCAGGGCCAGCGGCATCAGTAATTACCAGAAGCAGGAGAGGGAGGTGGCAAAGCTTGTCTAGAAATAGAGCACTTACAAGCTGTTGGCCAATGAGGATGACAATACCGACAACCAGACACCAACAAGTCAAAAGACCTCAGCAAATCCATCATCTAAGAGTCAGAAGCATTTCAGGAGGAAAGCAGATCAAGACAGTGGTGATGATGAAATAGTGGCAAAAGATTTTGGGAGGAATGTCCGTCGGCGAACAGAAGAGGAGGATGAAGAAGGTGGCGACGGCAGTTCTGATGAAGAGAATGAAAGGATTAGAGATCAGCAGGAAAAGGCCCAGCTAGAAAGGAACATGAGAGAAAGAGATGCGGCTAACACAAGGAAGTTGATGGAGCGACAATTATCTAAGGAAGAACAAGAAGAGCTTACTAGAAGATCTCAAGCAATGGACAAGAATGACACATCTGATCTGAGAAAATTCTCAAGGCAAGCATACCTGCAAAAGCGACGGGACAAAAAAATTGAGGAAATTCGTGATGAAATTCTAGACCACCAGTACATTTTCAGGGTGTGAAACTAACAGAGGCAGAAGAAAAGGAGTTGAGATACAAGATGAAGATATATGATCGTGTCGAGGAATATGTTGAGACTCCTGATGATGTTGGTGAGTACAAAATGCCTGAAGCTTATGACATGGTTGAAAATGTCAATCAAGAGAAGAGATTCTTTGTGGCCATGCAGCGGTACAAAGATCCTGAGGCCAAGGATAAAATGAACCCTTTTGCTGAACAGGAAGCATGGGAAGAACACCAAATAGGAAAATCGAAACTGCAATTTGGATCCAAAGATAAGAAGCCGTCTTCAGATGAGTATCAGTATGTATTCGAAGATACGATTGATTTTGTTAAATCATCAGTCATAGAAGGAACCCAGCCTGAAGACGATTCAAATAAAGAGGACATTAAAGCAAAAGATATTTTGAAAAGGGAGCTCCAGGATGAGCGAAAGACACTTCCAATTTTCAAATTTAGGGATGAACTGCTTAAGGCTGTAGAAGAGTATCAGGTTATCGTCATAGTGGGTGAGACTGGGTCTGGTAAAACAACACAAATACCTCAGTACCTTCATGAGGCTGGATATACTGCGAAAGGAAAGGTTGCATGTACTCAACCTCGTCGAGTGGCTGTCATGAGTGTTGCAGCAAGAGTATCTCAAGAAATGGGTGTTAAACTTGGACATGAGGTTGGTTACTCTATAAGATTTGAGGATTGCACTTCAGATAAAACAATTATTAAGTACATGACTGATGGAATGCTTCTAAGGGAGTTCCTTGGTGAACCAGATTTGGCTAGCTATAGTGTTGTCATGGTTGATGAGGCTCATGAGCGTACCCTCTCCACTGATATTTTATTTGGTCTGGTGAAGGATATTTCTCGTTTTTGACCAGACCTGAAGTTGCTCATTTCTAGTGCCACCCTTGATGCAGAAAAATTTAGTGACTACTTCGATTCAGCTCCTATTTTCAAGATACCTGGGAGGCGATACCCGGTTGAAATTCATTATACAAAAGCCCCAGAGGCTGATTACATAGATGCAGCAATTGTCACTGTTTTACAGATACATGTGACACAACCCCCTGGAGATATCCTGGTGTTTCTCACAGGTCAGGAGGAAATTGAAACAGTTGATGAAATCCTTAAACACAGAACAAGGGGCTTAGGCACCAAAATTTCAGAATTAATCATGTCCTATTTATGCAAATCTGCCTACAGAGCTTCAAGCTAAGATATTTGAGCCAACCCCCGAGGGTGCCTGTAAGGTGGTTCTAGCCACTAATATAGCAGAGACTTCATTAACCATTGATGGTATAAAATATGTTATTGATCCAGGCTTTTGTAAGATCAAATCATACAATCCCCCACAGGAATGGAATCTCTGCTTATTAATCCTATCTCAAAAGCTTCAGCAAACCAGAGGGCAGGAAGATCTGGACGCACTGGACCCGGGAAATGCTTCCGTCTATACACGAGTTATAACTACATGCACGACCTAGAAGATAATACTGTTCCAGAGATCCAACGAACCAATCTTGCGAATGTTGTGCTTACAATGAAGAGTCTTGGTATTCATGACTTGGTAAACCTTGACTTCATGGATCCACCTCCATCACTCCATCAGAAGCTCTATTAAGGGCTCTGGAACAACTTTTTTGCTCTCAGTGCACTGAACAGTCGTGGAGAGTTGACCAAGACTGGAAGAAGAATGGCAGAATTTCCACTGGATCCTATGTTGTCGAAGATGATTGTTGCTTCAGAGAAATATAAGTGTTCTGATGAGATCATCTCCATTGCATCCATGTTGTCAATTGGCAATTCTATATTTTATCGTCGGAAGGACAAACAAGTTCATGCAGATAATGCAAGGTTGAACTTCCACATTGGCAATGTTGGGGACCATATAGCACTACTAAATCTGTATAATTCTTGGAAAGAAACAGACTATTCAACTCAATGGTGTTATGAAAACTATATACAGTGCGCAGCATGAAGAGGGCAAGAGATCTTCGGGATCAACTAGAGGGGCTTATGGAAAGAGTTGAGATTGAGATTTGCTCAAATGCCAGTGATTTAGATGCTATTAAAAAAGCTATAACATCAGGTTTCTTCCATCATTCTGCTTGTAGAGGGATGGTGAAAGTATCTAGGCCCCAAGTTGGGTTTCGGTGATTAATGACAATACGAGATTACTGTGACTAACGTGTGTTTTGCAGATGCAATTAAGTTAGGTCATGGTAATGACAATTAATTTGGCAATCATGCTTGTCATGCTCCTACGATGGAAAATCATTTCGGTTTTCAAAGGATGGACGACAAGGTTAAGGATGGACTAGTTCTAAGTATCGTTTGGTGTTGAAGAGACACTTAGAATAGTTTATGACTTTGTTTTTCCTTTGGCCGTACTATTAAGGGGGTATAGACGGGTAGCTTGATCTAGGTAAGTCTAGTGGGTTAGGTGTGGTGTACACTTGTCAAATTTAGCACTATGTAGCTCCTACATAGCCCTAAGATCAATTGGAGCGAACTTCATTCACAAATGATTGCGAGTTGGAAGTGAATGGAGGGTCAAATGTTGATCGGACGCTGGTTCCGATGTGACCGGACGCTGGCGCAGAGTCCGGTCGGTTCATTTGATCAAGGTGAAGTCGTCTGGATGCGACCGGATGCTGAGTGAAATGTGACCAGATCGCTGGGTGCCAGAGTCCGGTCAACTCTAGTAAGGTTTCAGAGAGGGTGAATCCTGATTGGACACGTCCGGTCAGTGCTGAATGGACGTTGGTCAGGTTCTGGCTACTGACCGGACGCTGAGTAGCAAAGTGACTGGACGTTGGGTTCCAAAGTTCGGTCAACATCAATATGGTTCCAGAGGGTAGTTTTCGTGATCGGACGCGTCCGGTTAGTGCTGACCGGACGCTGGTCAGTGTTCGGTCACAACTTAACTGCTCGGTTGCGGGGAGAACTGACTGGAGCGTCCGGTCACCCCATAGTGGCACATAACGGTTCGTTTTGAATGAGGGGTTATAAATACTTCCTCTATTCACTTGAGGGATTACTTTTGCTCATTTCAACAGTTGAGAAACACCATTGAGAGTGCCAAGGAGAGTAAGGTCCTAGTGAGGTGATTGAGATTTGAGAATCCAAGAGAGGCCTCATTAGTGAAAGCAAGAGTAGCAAAGTGTGCATCCACCTTTCTCATTAGGCTTGTCGTGGTCAAGTGAGAGTTTGTGCTTGTTACTCTTGGTGATCGCCATCACCTAGATGGCTTGGTGGTGATTGGGAGTTTGGTGATCATCCGCAAGCTTGTGGATGACCCAACTCAAGTTGTGAGTGGTTGTGGGTGATTCATCGTGACGGAGTGTCGAAGAATCAACCCGTAAAGAGTACTTGATCCTTGCGCAGATCAAGAGGGAGCTACACCCTTGTGCAGGTGCTCCAACGAGGACTAGTGGGGAGTGGCGACTCTCCGATACCTCGGCAAAACATCGCCGCGTTTCTCCTTCTCTCTTTACTTTAAGCATTTACTTTGAGTGATTCAATTCTTGTCTTTACATTCATAGAATTGTCATGCTAGAGTAGAATTGGAATATATGTTGCTAAACTTTTGTGTGGTAGAACAATAGGAACATTTTCTAGGCATAAGAGGTGAAGTGGGTTAACCGTAGGGTTTAATTATTGCAAAGAATTTTAGAATTAGCCTAATTCACCCCCCTCTTGGGCATCTTGATCCTTTCAATTGGTATCAGAGCCTTGTGCTCACGTATTTAGGCTTAACCGCCTAGAGAAAGATGTCTCACGGGGATAGACCTCCTCCTATCTTTGAGGGAGATGATTTGCCTTATTGAAAAATCCACATGGAGGCGTATTTAGAAGCTCTAGATGTTGGAATACTTAGAGCCGCCTCACAAGGATTCCAAAAACCTCGAGATCCCACGCACCTTCAAGGCGATGAAGTGAACTATGAAAAATAGAATGCAAAGGCTAGAAACACCATCTTTAGAGGCCTTTGCAAAGATGTGTTTAACCGGGTAAGGAACCATAAGGACGCCCATGCACTATGGTCGGACATTTATGCGCTTCATGAGGGAACTAAGAGTGAGCGTGAGGAACGCTATCATCTCGTAATGAAAAACCTTAATTCTTTTGAGATGCTTCCTAAAGAGAGTGCTAATGAAATGTACTCACGCTTGAATGTTCTTGTAGAGGAAGTCAATGGGCTTGGACTCACTCAAATGCAACCATCCAATGTTGTAAGAAAAATCTTGAGTGTCCTCTCCATTGATAAATATGTGCATATTATGACCGTGCTTCATTAATGTGATCTTTTCACCGCTACGCCGACTCAAATCTTAGGAAAGATCAATGCTCATGAGATGTACATGCACATCACACCACAAGATGGCTCATCCTCTACCAAGAAGAAAGACAAAGACTTAGCATTCATGGCTAGCCAAGAGAAGGGCAAAGCAAGAATTGAGTATGAGAGCTCAAGTGATGATGAAGTTGATGATACAAGTCTTGCTCTCATGGTGAGAAGAACCGCCAAGATGCTAAAGAAGCTCAACAAGAATGGCGTCAAGTTTGATGGAAAGAAAAAAAAAGTTCTTCACTAGCACTAGAAGGAAGCCAATCTCGGAGATGGATTGCTACAATTGTGGAAAACTTGGTCATCTAGCACATCAATGCACAAAGCCCAAGAAAGACAAGTACAAGAAGAAGAATAAGGGCAAGAAAGATGACTCAAGTGATGAAAATAAAAATGAGAAGAAGAAAAACAAGCCATACAAGAAGAATGATGGTAAGAAGGACTTCCACAAGAAGAAAAATGGCAAGACATACATTATTGGTGATTGGCTCATGGACATTGATTCATTAAGTTGCTCATCCGATGATGATAGTGAGAATAAGAAGGTGGCCGCAATTGTGATTGACTCTTCATCATCTTCACCGACACCACCGCTACCATCCTCTACACACCAATGCCTTATGGCCAAGGGTGAACGAAAGGTATCAAATGATGATGATAGTAGTGGTGATGATCATGCTAACAATGATGATAGTGATAGTGATGATGATGAATTTAAATCACCTTCATATGATGATCTTGTTAAATTGCTAAATCAATATACTAAGATCATTAGAAAGTCAAGAGCTAAGAATGAAAAGCTTGAAATTAAGAATGACTCTCTTTTAGCTAAATGTGACATAGCGGAAAAGGCTAGTGTTGAGCTTAGAGAAGCAAATGATGCTATGTCATCCAAACTCAAGGAGCTCAAATCTTCTAAGAAAGAGCTTAAAGAAAAACATAATAAACTTGAGATGATACATAATGAGCTCATCACTAGCCACAATATGCTAAAAGAAGAATATACAACTTTCAAGATCAATCATGATAATCTTGTTATCACTCAAGAATTTTTATCCAATGAGCCACATGATGCTACTAACGATGTTGTTAAGATTGATATAGCCATATCATGTGATTATTTAATTGTTGAGAGCATTGCGCAAGGATCTAGTGGAAAAGGCAAGCATGTGGTTGAAATCGACAACTATGATGAGTATATCAAGCTCAAGCATGATAATGAAAAGCTCAAGAAAGATCTTGAAGAACTCAAAACCACCAACACTATAGTGTTAGAAACTCTTGATCATGATGGTGATTTGATTCTTATGAATGAGAAGCTCAAAGAAGAGAACAAGAGACTCAAGGAAGAGAAAAATGATGATGCACTCAAAGAAGAGAATAAGAAGCTCAAGTTGGAAAAAACATCTCAAGATTGGATTGAGCAAGTTCACAAGAGACAAACATCTTCAAAGTGAGTTACTAATGAACACCGTCATGAAGATAGATAGAAGTGGCATTGGGTACTTGGCAAACCAAGAGAAGAAGGATCAAGCTCAACAACAACAACACAAGTCAAAGCCAAAACCAAAGAGGTGTTTTTAGTGTGGACAAGAATGTCACTTTGCCCATAAGTGTCAAACTCCACCACCACAACACTTGCCCAAGCATGCTAGACCCTTTACTTTCAATGCTCATTACATGCTTAGAAAGGACTCTAGTGGAAAGATGAAAGTTATGTTCTTAGGACATCCCAACAAGAATAGACCTAAGAAAATTTGGATAGCAAAGTCACTTGTTGAGAAAGTGAAGGGCCCTCAACAAATTTGGGTCCCAAAATACGCTTGATCTCTTGTGTGTAGGTGAACTACAAGACTGGTGGAAGTCATTGGATAATTGATAGTGGTTGCACACAATATATGACCAGTGATCCTCGTATGTTCACCTCACTAGATGAAGAAGTAGATGGACAAGAAAGAATTACATTTGGAGATAATTCAAAGAGCAAAGTCAAAGGATTGGGCAAAGTGGCAATATCAAATGATCATTCAATCTTAAATGTGCTATATGTTGCTTTATTGAGTTTCAACTTGCTATCCATTGGATAATTGTGTGATCTTAGCTTTCAATGCCTATTTACCGAGAAGGAAGTGGTTGTATCCAAGAATGATGACGATCAAGTGATATTCAAGGGATTTAGATACAACAACTTATATCTAGTGGATTTCACCTTCAAAGATGCTAACTTGAAGACATGCTTATTCACCAAAACATCACTTGGGTGGCTATGG